GAGTGGGGCAATGGTATGGACAGGGCACCGGCATATCAAAGCTACTCAGCACCACAAAGCAGTGACCAGCCACAGCTGGACCCACATCCTGGTGAGGAAGCGGGGCAGGAGGAACTCATATTTTCCATGATAAAACCCCCAAAAATCAAGGGGCAATATGTATAGGTATTTAGAATGTATTTTATTATGGTGATTGGGGCACTGGTAGGCTTCCAAATTGCTTTAAATTTGTAAATGTATCAATAAAACATTGTGTTCAACTGATGCCTATATATATAAAGGCATTTCATTTTAATCATGGGAAATTGCAGATTTTGGAGGGTTTTAATGAGAGAATTTATGATGTGTTTTAGGTTTTTTTTAATCAGAGAGTTTGTGATTTTTAAACAGAGAAAACCAGAATCCCTGATTATGATAATCTGAGATGCAGGAAAACAATATTCAGGTCTGGGTGATTAATGGAGTTTTGATTTGATGATATCAAGAATAGGACTGTGAGTTAGGCCATTAAAAAGTCAAGGATCCCCATTTCTAATAGAATAAGGTAGTGGGACAGATGGATCTTTCAGCTGCTGGGAAATCAATGTATTGCCAATGAAGTCAGTGGAACTCTCCATTTTACATTACCTATAAACTGGGTCTTTTGTTTCTAACATGGGGAAACTGAGATTTAGGACATTAAAAATGATAATTCAACTGTCTAAGAAAATATGTCATGTCATTTCAGAGGGTTCTAAAATTAATTAGGTAATTTTCCCTTCCCCTGAGTCTGATCTAGTTAGATAGGTAGTGCCATCTTGTAAAAAGGTAGGTAATACCTGAAGGTGCAGATGTAACTAATTTACTCCAAGTGATATTAAGTGTGTACCTACTTTTGAAAATCCTACTATGTTCCTATCTGAATTCTTAATTACCTTTGAATATTTGACCTGTCATTTAAATTTAGAGGTAGAAGAATATGCAACTTATTGTAAGACCTATAAGAAATCCTTTTTTTTCCCTATTGAAACAATTAGCTTAAATATGTGACCAAATTAACAGAATAAAATAGATTTATTGTATAAGATGCATAAGAAAAAACTTTGGTGTTTGAAGGAAGACATCCACTTTTACATTACCCCACCAGATACTCTAGATTTGTTAAAACAGAAGGAAGAAACTAAAAATTGCTAAACTTATGGAAAGTTGGGAGGGGGGCCAATGAAGGGTTAGCCAGCTATGTTTAAGTCAAAAGTCAAAGAAAAGTCAAAGTCCTGAAATGCTCTTTGTGTAAAATTCTTATGCTTGTGGCTGGGAGAGGCCATGTTCTTTATTTTTCCATTGCTTGTATTACAAGTTAATTAAAAATATTTTTAAAGTGTGGAATTGCTGGTTCATTGGATTGGTAATATGATATAGAATCTTTCATTTCTAAGGGGCTGACTGAATTCCAGCTCAGATCATTAATGAACAAAAGTCATTGCCATCTCCTGATTGTTAAGGTGATAGATATATTCTTGGTGGTCTCAGTGTAGTTCCAAGAAGACAGAAGTTTTCTTTGCAGTAGCCAGTAGTATAAATCACATCTCAGAATAGAGATCAAGGTATGGATAAACTGTAGTAAATTGTTAGAGTAGAGTGGTGGTGGTATATGCTCCTAATACCCGTGTTGTACTTCTCCCTTGTATAATGATCTCCAGGCCTTTCCCTGCATTAAATTATAAATGAACACGTGAACTTCAAAAGCTGCTGTACTTTCACTGACTTTTCTATGTCAGTGGCACAAAAAAGCTCTCTGTTGTAGCTGGCAGTAAACATCAACTTTGTAAGAGCAGCTTCAGCCCAGAGGCTAAGTCGATAATGGGCCCTGGAGAGACTGACTGTTCCCCTTGTACCTGGAGATCAGAATGGAGACACATAGGCTAGGGACAGACATTGCACATAAACTGGTTTTAGTGATCAGAAACTGGTTTAAACCTGTAACAGAGCATACATTCAGTGCACACAAACCAGTTTCAAAATGGCTGAAACCAGTTTCATATTAACTTGGTTGAAAGTAGTATCAGACTTAACTGATTTGGCTCCAACTGGTTTATGCAATGTCTGTCCCAGAGCTCTTCCTGGTTTAACTTAAACCAGAGTCCCCCAGCATCCTGGCATGCTCTCTGGGCTGGGCTCTGTGTTTAAGCTCAGCAATGTTGTCCCTGCCCCTCTGCTCCCCAGTTGGAGCAGGGACAGGCAAGGATGGGGAGGGTCGGAGGTCTGGTCAGAGAGGGTATCATTCCCCCTCCCTTTCCCACCGGCAGGGTCCCAGGGCAGAGAAGTTTCTGTCCCATGTGTGGAGCTCCAGCTGCAGCTCCCAGATGCCTTGGAAGGTGGAAGGCACCGGGGTGGGGGGCTTCACTCTGGGGGCTGCTGCTCTGGCCAGTTCAGCCAGGGCTGGCCATGCCCCCCAGCACAGCTTCCCTGCAGTTGAGGGTGGGCTCTAGCACCCCCAGCTCCTGGTCTAAGCAACTGCAGGCATGTGCCCGTATGTCTGTGCAGTTACAAACCGGTTCAGCCTAGCCAGGTTAGACTAACCCACAAAGGTTGAATCAGTTCAGGCTCCGGCTTTTTGAATGTTTGTCCCTAGCCATATAAAGGGATCAATGGGCATGTCTACCCAAGACATTTGCTGCGGAGTTGCCTAATTAACTGCTCAGTAAATGCCTCAGCCTCTACACATGCAGTGCTATTAGGATGGAGTAAACTCCATCCTACTTGTGCAAACACAAGTACTAACCTACAGCAGAGTTTTTTATTCCGCAGCAACACACATATAGATGCTGTTGCAGTTGGCTGGGGCATGAGGGTGCTTCAGTGTGGGGGCTGCCTGCCAACTAGCTCTTCAGTGGAGCACCCTCATGCCCCAGCCAGCCTCTCTGCAGCATGCTGAGCTGGGTCATAGCAGCCCTGGACTGGCAGGCTGACCCCCCCTGCCAGCCGGAGCTGCTTTGACCCAGCTCAACATGCTGCAGTCTTGGGTGCACATGAAGATGTGGCACCCTGGAGCAATAAATTCTGGCACCCTATGCACTGGAGTTTATTGCTGCACATTACTAATATATGTAGATGTACCTAGTGTGAAGAAAACCCATGACCTGTGCCCCATATCACTATGAGAGATTAGTACTTTTTCATCAGTGATGAAATGAGAGCTGGGTGAAAGAAAAAAGTGTTATTTAGAAATATTCAGAGAGTTGTAGACATTTTGATGGGTTTTGGTCACACAGATATGTTTTTATTTTCTTATTTTTTAATCTAGGCAGTGGAAGTGGAAGATGATAACACAGTTGCTTTCTGAGCTGATTCAAGAAAGATTGTAAAAAAATTTCTACCAGAGCACTAAGCTGACTTGTACTGCTCTGAGTAAAAGTGATTTGGTGCCTCTAGAAGTCAGCTTTTGCTGCTTACTCAGAAGTAGTAGCTTCCCTTTGCTCAGTCACTTTTTCTTTTTTGTTACAGCATGGGTGTGACTTTCAGCTCCCCCTCCCTGTTATGTCACTACTTCAACTCCTTGGAATCAGAATAAAAACTGCAGCAAACTTCAGAGTCATTGACTGCAGGCTCAACAAGAGTTAGGGCTTTTTGTCTTTGTGCAGCTTGCAAGGATCTGTCAAGTTTTTTGCAAAAGTAACTCTGAGGAAACAATGGTTAAGTTATTGTTGTGGGCAACTTTTGGATTATGTTTTCTTAAGCTTTGTGAAGCACAGACACGTAAGTACTATATGAATGAAAATGCTAACGTTTGCTATTAAGTTTTATGCTTCGGACAGCAGCAACCATCCAGCCAGCTGGTTAGCAGCCTCTTTGCCACATGAACATGTCTCTTTGAATCAAGTTTTATTGGTTTTAAGTTATTCTCTGGTGAAACTAAGACAGAAATGTAAACTGTGCTGTTTTTCTTTTTACTTAAAAGCTAACCAGTATTTGGTAACGTACAGCCGCTAAAAGTACTTTGAAAACTAAACTGTTACTCAAAGTTTATACTAACAAGTATGATAAGGAATTGATCTTTAGCAGAGCTGTTCAAATTCAACAATAGAAACTACCATTATGTATGTACATTGCTCTACCATTCTTGTAAAACCGACAGTTTGTAGGAGGTGGGGAGGAACCCCTCTTGGCATACAATAGCTGTATTCTTAGGATCACACAAGCTGAACTAAAGGCTGTTACATACTGGATTTTAATGCAAAAGCTAGGATAGGCAGGAAATTCAACTTCTATGATGAAATGTGAAGAGGTTTTTATAGTAATGTTCCATGTTTCTAAACTATATTTAAAGGATTGGGGGTTTTTTGCTTTCAGGTTTTGAGGGGGGGCTTTTTTTCCTTTTCCTTTTTTCTCTTCTTTTTATTTTGGGCTTAATTGGTAAGATTTTCAAGCAAACAACAGAGTTTGATGGAGCTGGGCAATTCAGTTGTTTCGGTATCAGCTTTCTATAGTTCTGATGTCTGCCTGAAAATATGGGAATAAATCCCTTGTTTTCACAAATGAAAGCACATCACATATGACAAAATAAAAATCACATGCCCATAATGACAAAATGCTCTTAATTTTTTATGTGGTGCAGGCACAACAGTGTTTGGGGGAAATTGCTACGCCTTTAATAGAGTCTCATAGTAATAGAAACTGCCTTGAGGTGCTTTGGCAGAGAATCAATTATTCTTCTACCTTTTTCCATTAACCAGTTCCTAGGAATCTATCAAAACACATATTTTTATAGACGTTGCCAACTCAATTTTTTTTCTTTTTTTTATATTGAACCTCCTGCTTATTTCAATAAGTTAGAAAGGTTCCTATGGCGCAAGATCTATGAATGGGTGTGTCAGATCGAACAGTTCCAGACTCATCCCTGATTTCTGGAAAAGTCACGTTGTATTACAGTCTGAAATATTCTTCCCATGATACTAAATGTAAGCTTCATGCTGCAGTTAGATACCTAGACAATGCATGTATATTCAGGGAGGAGTGATACACTTGTAAGGTATATCTGAGGTGTGGCTAGAGCCTTGCTTAATGTTTATATAGCATACGCATATTCATCAGATTTTGTTATCACTTGCTCAATTCATTTTTCCTTTTATGAACTGCCATAAACAGGAGTGCCATAAATAGTCACCGTTTGAAGTTACTCTAAGGCTAATATTTTTACAGTAAGAGATATAAGGGGAAAAAAATCTAGTCCTTGGTATAGTTAACACAAAAACATACCAAGCTTAACATATGCCCAACAGAGAATTTTCTTTCTAGGCTTAGCAAGGTATTAAATTATAGCTGTGGTATATTTTAGCTTATATGCAGTGCATTCCAAACTGACTCTGTAGCCACTACAGACTTCACAACTACAGTTGATATTTTAAGGTGTCCTTTTTTACAGTGCATCACAAAGTACTGGAAATAGCACTTGGAGCTTGATTTAAAGGGATGGGCCCAAAGCATAGAATTCAGTTCTTGTCCTGATTTTTTTTTTTTTAATTCTTCAAATGTTTGGAATGATTCCTCCCGGGAATATTGGTTTTGACTCACCTGGGACATTCCAGTTTGTTCGGAAGGTCTCGGATGCAAGTTACAGCGGGTTCAGCCATTCAGTTGGGAAACTATTAATCGGGGGGGCTGATTGACCGTGGAGCAGAATTAGAATCCAGTTAGAGGTATATATGTTGGTGAAGCCATGGAAATGCTCTAAATGACAAGGCTAAAGGAAAGGTGAGGGTCATGAGTGATACCTGCTGAGAAGCAGGGTCAGTGAGCCTGCTGTCGCTAGACTGCTACTGAGATCTGAGCTGGGTATGACTTTAGCTGTGCCCTTAGCTAGCTGCCTTACACTTGATCCAATTTCCAGAACTAGGAGGAAAGGATGTGGGCGTCACAGTTTGGGATTTTGTGGCATGAACTGCCACTCCCATTGTGCCCATATAACGCTATTACCTTTATGTTTTTGGCTGTAGTTGGGTAACACAGATGTAAGTGATGACAGAATTTAATGCAGTAAGTTAGGGAGATCTATGAAGGCATCAGTGAGGGAGAGTTCAAGGGAATGGAAGAGATGAAAATGGAAGCCTGTGAATGCCGTTGAGGGAGAAGAGCATGCCCGTCCACATAGAAATGCTGGCCAGAGTGGCAGCCCAGGCTGAGATGAAAAGATGGGGATGACATGCTACCTATGAACTGAAGAGAAAGGGATTGTGTTCTGTCTGTTGCATCTTTTATACAAACTTACAGAAAACAATGTGAACAAGCCCTTTGTGCTAGTTTATTTTTGTAAGGATGTTACACTATGTATATTGGCTCTTTTCCCAAAGGTTTGAAGTAACACCATTTGAATGAAGTTGGGCTGGCATTATTTAACTGGCAGCGTTCAAAACTGCTATTGAGCTGTTCCTACCAAGCTGGCGAGCCATGGCTTGTGATGGCACAGTAGTCTGGAGGGAGGTTATTGTTGGTCCGTTGGTGATGGCAGGTCTCACACCCAGTTTTGGTGGTGTGGATACTGGGGTGGGTGGCTGAAAGCCTAGAGGTCATAGCAGAAATATCCATGGTGCGGCCATGTCAGATGCTAACAAATCTGTGAATTCTGCTAAATATCTTGTAACAAGCACAAGGAAGGAAGTCGGTTACCACAATGCTGTGGCGCACATGGTAGGAGTGGAAAAGGAACTCGATGAGGAGGTGAAAATGGCATTATAGAAAGGGCCAAAGGCCCTTTAAACATTATTAGGAGGGAACTGACCAAGTTAGCTAAGCCTAAATGAAGTGTCAAAACTGTATCCTCAGTAGGGGACTGTTCCAGTGTTTTTAAGTGCCAAGACTAGAAGTATTAACACTTTTTCTATTGTTCTAGCACTACAAATGCACAGCAGCTTCTACAATAGTGAGAGGGTGCTAAACAAAGATCAAATACCTTGTCCTGAAAAGTTTCTAGACCAGAGGGAACAACAGCATGTGGAGAAGTGTGAGAGCATTGAACTATAGAAAATCACTAGGGCTAGCATGCTGTGTGGAACAGCTGGGCTTGCAGGTCTGTCTCGAAGGAGGAAGGGGAAGTTTCTTCCTATTGTTAATGGATAATTGCACAGCTGCTTCCAGTGTAAAGGCAACTGGAAAAAATGGGAGAGTGAAAAGGAAGGTTGGGGTGAAACATAAGAGTACCAGGTGGTATTGTAGAAAAGACTACAAGGGAAGAGGTATAGACAATGTGGAGATTGGAGAGCTCTGGATGGGAGAAAAGGCCTGAAATGTAGTTATGTGGGAGAATAGAGAAAGCCAGTAGAGAGGCAGAAGAACTAGAAAGCTTGTCTTAGAACAGCAGGAAAAGTAAATTACCTTTGCAGTGCCACAGTGGATGCACTATATCAGGGGTTGTCAACTGGGGGTATGCGTACCCCTCGGGTACTTGGGAAGGCCCTAGGGCAGGGGTAGGCAACGTTTTTTGGCTGCAGCGCTGAAAAAAAATCACAATGTCTACCTTGGAAGGTGCCAGAGTGCCGGCATGCCAGAAAAACAAAACAAGGGCATGGGGTACATGGCAGGATGCACTGCATATTAGTACAGTTAATTATCATAAATGTTGCCTTTTTTTTAACGGTAAGTACCAGATTTTCTAAAAATTGTAAACCTGGTGACAATAAATAAAACTTCTGAGACTACCTTTGATCTTCTGTATTTGTTGGCCACACTTCCCCTACAGGCGGGGGCAGCAGTGAGGGGCACAACCCTGAGCTGCTGCCTGTGCTACCCCTGTGCACACAGGGGAAGTGTGGTCAGGCAGTGGGGAGCTTCGCGGCAGGCAGCTTTCGTGCGCCTCCTGGCTGTGCGCTGCCATGCCGGGTTCCTCACACTGCTCTGCAGAGGTGGCGGATGAGGGCAGCATGGTGGGGAGCATTGCCAGCACCTGCTGCCTCCCTGGAGCCTGGGTCTGGGTCTGGGGGCACTGGGAGGCAGCTGGGAGGATGCAAGCCCTGCTGCAAGCAGCCCGGGTTCTGTGGCTATCAGCAGCTACCCAGAACCTGGGCCGGCTGCAGCTGGGAGGGTGCAAACAGCTCCTGCCTTCCCGCCCTGGCCCCCTCTGTCTCCTAGCCCTGGGCTCCAGGAAGGCAGCAGGTGCCAGCACTGTGCCCGTCAGGGCTGGGGTGGGGAGGCAGCAGCTGTTTGCAGCTTCCCAGCTGCAGCTGGCCCAGGCTCTGGGGTAGCTGCTGCCAGCCATGGTTCCCAGGCTACTTGCAACAGGGCTTGCAGCCTCCCAGCTACCTGCTGGCAGCAACTGCCTAGAGCCCAGGCTGGTGGTGGCATGCTGAGCAAAATGGCCTCACATGCCATGCTCGGCATGCATGCTGGGGATTGCCGACCCCTGCCCTAGGGGGTACGTATGGGCAGGCAGGGATGGAGCACTGCCACCCACCACCCCATGCCACCACCTCCCAGGAGCAGGGCCAGGGTGAGGGCAGTGGCACCCTTGTGTGGGCCGCTCAGGCACTGCCTGGGCAGTCAGACAAGGGTGGTGCAGGGGAGAAGCTTGCACATGGCGGCAGCTGCCACCACTATCCACCACCCCACACCGCTGCTCTGTGTCTGGCCATGTGCTACCCTCGCCTTGTTCCGCATCCAGCCACGTGCCACAACCTCCTCTTTGCGCCCCCCGGCTCCATGACCAGCCCCTGGGGCTACACTTATTTAAAAAGGTTGAAAACCCCTGCACTATAGGATGATTGTAG